AACCTTGCTCAAGGTGACTTCTGGCGTGGAGGACAGGAAGGCGGGTGGGGAGGCGGTTATTGCTTGGAGGGAGAGTCCCCCTCCCTACAGGAAGCCACGACCACGTGTCACGGCAGTGAAAATGGCCACAGATCCTGTTCGTCACCCGATCCGGCGTTCGTGGACGGAAGCAAAATTTTGCGAACGGTGCTGTTCGTGACCTGAATTGTTCGTGAACAGAAGCGTTCGTGACCCGAGGTACCACTGTAGTTGTTTCGTTGCTACGCTAAAGAACATCAAATAATTATGGGTGCATCTCCAGGAATAAGCAGTCGGATTGCAGCCCTGGTATCTACTTTTTTCGTTAGCGAGCTTTATCAATAACCAAAACACTCATGAAAAAGACCATAATGAAAAAAATCCACATGAAAAATCGGTCCATCACTTTTGCAACCTTTTTCCATTCTACTCCTTTGGCGTGGTTGGCTTTGTGGCGCCTTACGCAATTAGCGATATATTCAATATTCTTGATTAATGTTCTGTAACAAGAGCAGCAGCCAACAACATCCCTTGCATTTTTACCTGGGAATCCAGAACCATCCTTCCCTCCTTCACGCAGCTTCTCGAGGGGGTCACTGTCGCTGCTTCTCCCCTTACTGAGGGGTTTCCTTCTGCCTTCCCCTCTGCCTTGCTCTTTTGAACTTGTGCGTGTTGTTTCTGACTCTGAGTCTTGCTCTCCGACACACTGCAGACTGGTGCAGTTTTCACCCACATCGTAAACAAAGAAGATCTTTGACATGTAGTCCAGAATGACCACCCTTGCCCACTGCGGGACGGGCTTGGCTCCTGATCCACAATAATGAATATTCATTATAATTATGGTGAGTGCTGTGGATGCAGTGATCATTGTCATAGTAGCGATGTAATATTTACCTGACATAAAAATCAGAACCACAAAAAGAACAAAAAGAACACTATTAAATATGATCAGTACTTATGCAGATGACCTGGATTGAATTAGAATCCTTTTACCATACTTGGCATCCAGGGAGCGCACACCCTTACTGAAAATATTTATCTCCATCAACAGTATGTTTATGCTAAGTATATATGTGCATATGAGTTTGAAAAATCGTTTCAATCTATATATGTATACATGTGTCTTCAAACTAAAGTTTCTCCTAATTTAGCAGGCTGTCTCCCAAAACAGCCAAGTGTAATCTGATTTGTGCTTTTTAAAAATGTCTTTTAAAATTCTATCGCATCTTTCATCAGTAATACCAGAGCAGCTTACAACATATTCAAACAAATCAGATGCAAAAAGAAGTAATAACAGAGCAAGTAGCATAAAAGAATGGCAACAATGGGAGGCAAATTTAATAAATAATTTTGCCTATACAATCCAATCCCATGCATATTTACTCAGAAGTAATTCTACTGCTTTCAATAGGATTGTTCCGCAGGAAGTGCCCAGTTGCCTTGGAGCAGAACTTAATGAGATTTGTGAGTTAAAATAGATTTACATTGATAAAATGGGACCAGAGGCCCTCTCTTTTTTGCTTCTCTGATCTGGAAGACAGGATCAGCTATGAAAGGCCTAGGTGACCATAGACAGCAGCAGAGTTAGAGATTTCTGCAATGTTTTTGGTGCCATCTAGAGTCATCTAGATGTTTGTAGCCCAGATAGTAGCTTGACCATCAGGAGATGATTTCAACATATGATTCTGGTGACTTGGGAACAAGTATTATATTTGATACTTGGATGTTAAGTACAGTGCATGGACAACTTCGAAGTTGACCCCGATTCATCTCTTTGATTTACAGAGGCTATGTGATCTCTGAAAACCACTGATAATATTAATGTGGCCTTCCACAACCTGGTATCACCATGGCCTCTCATACCGGTTGAAACTTTCTGAGAGTTGCAGAAATCTAGCCCATTTGGAGTGGCTTAGACTAGAGTTCACTCCTGATGTCCAGATTTTGCTGTCCAAACTTCCCAACAATGGACCATACTGTGTGGGCAACTGCAGTACGCTATACTGATGCACCTTTCAAAGGCAATCCATTGGCAGCAAGGTGCGAACAAGAGCAACGTCTCCTTTCTGCTCAAACCAACAGACAACAAAATACTGAAATTTTTACAGGAATAATTAAGTACTACCATCAGATTTCCCCTAGCCATTTGTTGCAGAGTGAGCATATATTCCTTTCTTTGCTCAGAGTTAGTCTACTAAAGTAAAGATAATTTCCTCAAGTCCTGTTTGAGGGATTCCCTCAAGTCAGGCTTGGTTTCTGGTGATTACATGCTTATTTTCTTGGTATAAATGTGGAAGTGGCTTGCCAATGCCTTCTTTTTTAGACTGTCTAGTCTAGTCTATAGTCCAAGATTTCCTGGTTTGCCAAATACCAAAGAAATCCAACTCTCCTTGAGATCAGCCACAGCCAACTAAATGCTACTACCTGCTAAGACTGTATACTATACAGGTAGTCCTTGACTTATGGCCACTTGTTCAGTGACCATTTGAAATTACGACAGTGCTGAAAAAGGAGACTTAAGACCAGTCCTCAAAGTTGCGGCTGTCCCAGCACCCCCATGGTTACGTGATCATGATCTGGGTGCTTGGCAACCTGTTCGCACTTATGACCAATTGCCACACACCGCACGATCACATGGTTAGCATTGGCAATCTTCCATGCCAGCTTCCCCAGAAAGTCAAAGGGAAAGCCTGCAGGGAAGATCACAAGTCTCTGGGGTAGGTCTCCCTCACCCACATATCCTCCTACAGCTCCTCTGTGCTCATGCTGCACCAGCCACTTGCGCACCCCCGCAGCACCTCTCACGCACCATCTCCGATCCTCACAGCACCTCTCACACACCTTCCCCAACCTGAGCAGCATCTCTCATGCAACCTCCCTGACCCACCCCCATGCAACCCCCTCACTCTCTCCCCCACCTGGCAGCAGCCACTTATCTGCCTGCTGGCCTGCGACTTGCAACTTCCTGCCAGCTTCCCTACTGACTTCGGTTGTGGGAAGCCAGCATGAAGTTGCCTTGCCTAATGACCGTGGCATTCAGTTAATGACAGCAACCAGGACTGCAGGTATTGCCGTTGCTAAGCAATGTGATTGCACTTTATGACCACATCGCTTAGCGATGGAAATTCCAGTCTGAATTGTTGTAGTAAGTCAAGGACTATCTGTATGAACATTATCCTACAGTTAATAGTTTCTTCCTCAAGTTACCAGTTCAAATGTACTTTGGGCTCAGGCCCTGACCTGATAATATCAATTTTGCAACAGCCATCAATGGTAACTGGGAGGAAAGTGTCAATAGTCCAACACTTGGCACTAAAGAAAACCCTCATTTTAGTATGCTGTCCACAATAGGCAAGCTACATGGTGTACAGAAATGCTAAGTATTTAAATTGAAATTTGCATCACTTCTCCAATGTAGACTCTCCCTCTCACTTCTATAGCATGAAAAGCTGCTTGTAAAGCAGCTAAGAGCTTCACAGAATTGAACTCTAGATTAATTTGCTTCAAAGCCTTGCATGAAGTAATGCAAATTAGACCATCAGCAAACCAGAAGCCAGAGGCCAAACACCGAGAGGCAAGGTTGAACATGTTGGAGATGTGTGACCTCAGGAATTGACTTGGAAAGGCAATAAGATAGCCATCCTCAAATATCTGTTATCCCTACTGATGATGGAGCAAATTGGTTCTGTTTGTTTCCAGAAGTTAGGATTGGGAAGAGAAGGCTCACATTACTAGGAGACTTTTGACTATACAACAGAGCTACATAAAACAAGAACTACTTAATGTGGTAGGTTGGCCATACGCAGGCAATGCTATAATAGCATTAGAAACGGGTTAGGCTA